CTTCTTATTGAAAATGGAGCACAAATTACATTAAATGGGAATTACGTGATGAATAAAGATTCTAATATATCAGTTCCACAAGATGGAACATTGATATTTAATGGGGAATTAACATTACAACAACAAAGTAGAATGACTTTGTTAGAAGAAGCTGTCATCAAAGCAGATTCTATTAAATTAGAATCTACAGCTACAATTGAAATCAATGGAGGAAGATGGATCATTGCAGATAAAATTCAATTGTTTGGAGCTTCTTCAATTCAATTTATCAAATCAGGTGCATTAAATCGAACAACAGTCGATTTATATGAAGAATCTATGATTGTAGCAAATGAGTTTAATAGTCAACAGAAATACACTGATGCTGTAATTACATTTCATAACAATTCTAGATTCAAAGGAAAACGTAGTGGAAATCTAGCAGGTTATAGCAGCTTCACTTTTCGAGATAATGCAATATTAGACTTGACAGAATCTCTTATATTTTATTGTGGGGATCTAGTGATGACTGATAACACACAGATCATCGGAATAAGTACTGTAGAATTGGATGGGAATGAATTCTACTTTGGTAAGAATTCATCTATTGTATTACAAGACACTTCGATTCTGACTAATCCTTTTATTTCTATTCTCAATGATGCCATCTTTGATGACAATTTCACGTTGTATTGTGATAGAAATGCAACAGTTTCGTTAAATAATTTATGGATGAGAGGAAATTCAGCAATTGTTGCAAAGAATAGATGTAACATTATTTTGGTACCAACAGAATGGTCTGATTACCAAGAAGGTGGCAATTTCTTGATTGAAGAAAACGCACAAATTCGATTGTATGACAAATCAATTATTATTCCTGACAAAGGAAATCTCGCACGTGGTAATTCGGTTCTTCTGTTGAATGATAGAGCTACACTGTTTGCAGTTTCGACTGATTTTAGAGAAAATGCACGAATGGAAATCGGTGAGAATGCAGAAGCTAGAATTCGTGGACAAATTAAATTTTATAATACAACTAACATGATGATAAATAGCAATGCAACAGTGACATATAACGAAGGGAATGATTATGATACTATTATGATGG